ATGAGCTTCGACGGCGTCCAAGACTACCTGGTTCACGTTAGGTATCCACCAACCTAATAGACTGATCCCATATACACCCGTATAAAAATCCCAAAAAAAAACCGTTAAAAAACATAACATTCGCATCATTTAGGAAAGCAACTCATGAAGGGCAAATGGAAGCGTGACAGGTCAGTAGGAAACTGTGAAATCTTATATATTAGGTTGTCCCGAAAGTTTTGTTTGTTTTTTCAATCTATCATAAAAATACGTAGAACAAAGATAGGGAAACGCTCTAAGCACCATCCAACGCATCTTTTCCTTCTCTTTCTAACTGTCATGCTTCCATGCCGATTAACCTTTTGTTCACTGAGATAAACGCCGAAATTTCGAACCCATGGTTTTTACTACGTCCAAGTTTGGCAATTTTTCACAATCTTTATTTTTGACTTTCGAAAAAGCTTTAGCAATATTTAGATAGAGCAAACAAGGGGCAATATAATGCAATTTTGCGGCATCTATAGCCAGTCTTGAAAATTTTTTAGAATTATTTTTCTGATGCTATCAAATTCCACTTTTGGTGACGCCAAAAGCCAGAGATCATGAAACGGCGCACAACTAAAGTGTTATTCGATGCATATTTTCCTCCTCTTTCCAGGCAGTGTATTTTCTCTCCAATTTCGGGGTCTTTGGCGATAAAATTTTCATATTTTTTGAATTTGACCCCACCCCAGCGTGTACACGTGAAATGCAAAATCTTATATTTCGAAGCAGTAAACGCTCATTTGCTTCGTAAAAATAGTGAATAATCGTAATCGGTTTTTGAAAGCTTCAAAATCCGATGATTTGTTAGTGTTTCTGTATTTTAGAAATTCGCAAAAGTGAAGACATTTGAAAAAATTATCTTTGAAAATATAGAAAAGCCAGCTAGATAAGCCAAATAATTGCATTGCATTGCCCTTTGCTTACTCTATCTAAGGGCTATCAAAGGTCTTCCAAAAGTTGAAAATGAAGATTGTGAAAAATTGTCAAACTTGGACATAGTAAAAACCATGGGTTCGAAATTTCGGCGTTTATCTCAGTGAGCAAAAGAGTAATCGGCATGTGGTCTTGACTATTAGAAAGAGGAGGAAAAGGTGCGTCGGGTAGTGCTTAGAGCGTTTTCCTATCCTTGTTCCACGTATTTTTATGATAGATTGAAAAAACGGACAAAACTTTCGGGACAACCTAATATAAAGCTGAATGTGTGTATGCTCAGATAATCGCCGGGGGCAGGCGGTCCGCAAACTCGCGCTTTTCTGCAGGCGGTCAGCAGAATTTTGGGGCGTGGCCAAACCTTCAGCGGGCGGTACTTTCGTCTTCTGCCAGCGGGCAGCAATACAAAATTTCCTGCAAGCGCTCCGCAAACAATCTCTTTCAGCGAGCGCTGGCCAAACTTTCAGCAGGCGCTCAGACTCTTTTTACGCAGTTTCGGGCGTACGCCGAGAAAAGATGAGACTCTATGTGGCAGAGGTGCCACCGATGGTTTTATTACCCAAGTTTGGGGTACTTTCTTCCAGCGGAAAGTACCTGAGGGCTGTGCGGTTTTTCAAAAAGGACCGTGCGGCTCCCAATAATTTTGCATGTTCTCGCGGAAAATTCGCGAGAATGCGGCCACTGTGCCGCAACTTATGTATAGAAAAACCGCGATAGATCTTCGAGCGTTCGTCTAAAAATTGGCCAAAATTATTCCAAATTTCTGCAAGCGGACCACAAAAAATCAGCGAACTATTTTTCCGGTGCCCGCTTGCTCAAAATTCGCATGGCCGCTTGCCCCCGGCGATTATCTGAGTACGGTGCTGGGAGTTGGCACAGGGGGGTATTCGAGAATACTGATTACGAATGCAATATTAGTTTTCAAAATCGTCCATTACTTTTATCGATTTTATCAATTTTTTGCAAAGTTTGAGCTGCAGGGCTGGGAGTTGGCACAGGGGGGTAAGTGAGCATGCTGATTTCGAAAACAACACAGGGAAGGGGAAATGAAGTGTAGAAGTGGGCACAGGGAAATGCTGTGCAGGGATAAGGATGGAACCTTTATTACAGTGTTTTGACAGGCCCGAGCGGAGCCGGGTAAGCAAGCTAGTTTAGTAATAAAATAAACATAAAGCTACCCACGGCCTAAAAAGAAAAAAACAGAAAAGAGGGCAGTTAATAGCTTTCTGATTCTTCAGCTTGCATTAGATCCGTTTCATTTATCTTGCGTTTGAAAACGGCTACGCTCTGTGCCGATAAAATGGGGGGAGGCAATCTGTTAAACCATCTGGATGTTCTTAAAAAAGGTTGTTGAACATCAAAAGAAAACATTTCTTTTTGATTCTTGGATAATGAATGTTGAACCCACCCTTCCTACAAGTTGGTCTGAAAATCCAGTATTTGCTTGCATTTAGTCTCAGTTCTTTACGTACAGCACGGAAGGCAAAAATGAGATCAAGGTATATTCTTTTGTGCTCCAAGCTTTTCAGTGCCAGTGACTTGAGACGATCTTCATATACTGGCATTTCAGTAAAAGCAAAACGTTCTACGACATCTCAAAAAACAGAATACGAAATGTTTGCTGTACCTTTTCTACTTTTGAGATAATCTTCATCAAAAAGGATTCCAAATAACAGAACAATAATCAAGGTAAGGCAACACATACGCTTTATAGATTCAAGAATCACTGAGTTATTTGTATGAACTGATCGAAGTATGCCAAATAAGACAGAGTAACTCTTGTTTACGGCATAATCAATATGTTTTGAGAATTTCAACTCAGAATCAACTAGAACACCCAGATTCTTGGCAATGCAACTCTTCTTCAGAAGAATTCCGTTGATCTCATAATCAGCTTGCTTATCGTCACCAAATGCAAAACAAAGCATATCTCCGAATTTAATGGGATATCAAAGCTAGAAGCCCAGTATGCATCTGATCCAATGATTTCTTCATTGCAGACTGAACTTCATGCCTGTCATAGATTTCGTAACTTTTGACATCGTCTGCGCACATTTAAATCGTAAGATGAGCAGACGTTTTTAAGATAGACGGGATCTCGGCGGTATAAAACAGGAAAAGCAACGGAGAAGGTACTCCTCTTTGTGGAACACCACTGCATCAGACATATCTATTTGAGAAATGATGTCCAACTTTGACTGTCATTCCTCTACTGCTCATGTAAGATCTAAGCCAGCTCAAAAGATTACCCCTCAAGCCAATTTGTTCTAGCTTGCATATAAGCTTATTATGATTGACTCTATCAAAAGCTTTTGAGAAATCTATGTAAACAACATCTATTGACATTCCTCTGTTCAACGCTAAATTCCAGTTGAAAATGGAATTTGCAAGATTAGTAGCGGTGGAAGACCCCGTCATGAATCCATGTTGGTTTAAGAAATAACATCATTGCCAAGCCACAGTAACTTTTCTCAAAGTATTTTCTCCATTACTTTTACTGTGGTACAAGTGAGACTTATGGGAGGAAAATCTGAGAACAATGAGCCTAAGATGTCTCCGGAGCTGCCGTGACCAACGCTTCTTTCCAAATTTGAGGGACCTTTCCTAGGATCACCGATATGTTGATGTGTGCCAGAGGGATGAGGCGCATTTTTTTGAATACAACTTGCGGAATACCATCATATGTTTCACTGAATGACGGCTTCAATCGGATCAGTATCTTATAGATATTGGAGGAGTTGAAGCACACATGCTAGAGAGCTGCGGCGAGGAGGAGGAGTGGAGGTAAGAATTTGCTCATCAATAATCTGATCTGCGGAAGTGAACACGCTCCTGAAATGGCTGGCTAGCGCTTTCTCACTATCTGTGATAAAAACTTGGCCTGATTGATCAATCAAGTTTGACAAACTTCGATTTGATTTGATTTTTCCATTAATGTATTGAGAAAAGAATTTCGATGAGGCTCTAGCAGCTAATCTTTGCTCATAGTTAGTCAGAACTTTTTTCAAATGAAAGCCAATATCTTGGCATATTTGTCTATACACAGCGTCGAATAGTGGATCAGACAAAGATAAAATTAGGCGTTCCTTCTGATTTAAAAGATTTCGAGTGTGTAGGGTAATTCAAATGAGCATGAATAACGAATTTGAATGATACGTGTTTTGCGAGTGCATCATACATAACCAAACAAAATCTATAGTAGACATCATCTATCGATTCGTATTGATCAAACAAACGTAGCCAATCAATACCAGCAAGGTAGGCATTTATGGCAGTAAAATCGATCTTCCGATAATCAGCTGTAGTTAATAAGATTGTAGGGGCAACTGCTGTAGCCACAGAAAAGTGGACAAAGCGGTCAGAGTTGTAGGGGCAACTTCTGTAGCCACAGAAAAGTGGACAATGCGGTCAGAGTTTGCAAGGGAGCCATAGTGCGAATGTTTGAAATACTTTGAGAGATGGAAAACACAAGATCAAGGACATGGGATCGATGAGTAGCCTCTCTCACATGCTACCTTAAGCCGGAGTTGATGAAAAATTCGAGAAAATTCGAAGAAGTCTTATTGAAAGATGTAAGGTTGATTCAATCAATCTGCAGATTGAAATCACCCAGAGCGATTATACTTTCCTTTTCACAAGATGACACATCCATTCAATGAGTTTCTCATCACTCACGTTAGAGCTATTAGGAGGTCCATATATTCCAAGAAAACGCATAGATATAGGTTGGTACAAAGAATATACATCAACACAAACAGTACTGGACATTGTACTGTCATCAGACATAGACGATTTTATCAAAAGAGCTAAGCAACCTATGCCTAGCTAGGCAACCTATGCCGCTGCCTTTGCTTTTTTTTGTGATACGATTATCGATAGAAAAAAACGCTTGCGCTCTTCCTCCGTCAAGCTTCGCCTTATGCACACATTAGGAGATTGTTTATCGTTTATTGTTATTTATTGTTTTATTGTTTTTTTTTGTTTTTATTTTTTATTTATTGTTTATCGTTTGAAACAGTAGGCTGTGATCAGATATTGTGGACGACATGAAAGAAGCTATCGATCCAGGGTCAGAACCTCGTGTGCGACATATACGACCTGACTTGCTTATAGAGCATGGTGAAAAATCTGTAGGTCGGAATGCAATTCGTGAGATCTCGTATGATCGTAAACTAGATCCATTACGTGATACATTCACATACCGACTCAAACAGCGCATATCGAAGAATGAACTATACCCTGAGGAACAGAATGTGCGTGACTACCTTCGTGATGCCTTTCATGTACCGTCATTTGTTGCTGATGAGACTCCATGGGGTCTTGTCTTACGACACATTCTATGCGATCGACCCCTCTCCCGGACCGTGATTGATTTAGATGCACCTAAACAGATCAAAAGAGCAACAAAAGTTGCATCAGACAACGTTAAGTTACAAGTACTAGTGAACATAGCAACAATACCTGAATCGTATCGAGGAAAGATTCAACAGTTACTGGAGAACTGGTGTAGGAATCAAAGAGTTAGTAGTGTAGTGACCCGATTGTTTCAATTCGCGGGGTTCATAGCACCAATAATACATCAATCGCAATGTTATGTGTATCGCCAACATCCGGAGGAGACTTTAGCATCTATGAAAGAAAGATTTTTGAAGGCTCAGCGGTACTCTTTCATATTGCCGGATTATGAACTATTACTAACGCGTGAGCATTGTTACTTAATCTCTCCTGAAACACGCGTGTACATTATGCCTCATGACGTTTTGCTATTGTGGCATAATAAGTGTTGCGATATCATTTCGATACTTCTTGCTAGTCAGGCGATGTCGGGTGTTTCATTGTCTCCGTCATTTGCACAACTTGTTGAATCGTTGATCCAGAGTGGTGTGAACATCCTACTGCAGTACAAACATAACGCATTTGTGATCTTCAAGGCTCTAGAGGCCTTTTGCGTGGGAGAGACCCTGCTGTCGCTAGAAGGACCCGCAAACGAAGGTTTTCTGCGAACAATTGCCTCTGATGTATATGAGAACACAGGCTTTGACTATTATAGCTCCGATCTTCGGTTTTGTTTGCAATCAGCTGGAATTCCAGAGCGACATGAGTTATCATGCCTAAGCAAGATTTTTGGACACCCGTATGTACGAATGCATGAGGGTGCTGTCAAGCTCTGTGAAAAGACGACTGAATGCCAACTTATTAACGTGTATCATGTCAATATAGTAACCTGCTATGTTAAAGAAAATTTTATACGCAATTATATACTCAAACACGGGGTGTGGCCACCAGTAGAGATGGAGTTGATGTCGGAAGATCATCCATTACGTCGTGCACGTGAACACAATCGCCAGCCCAATGATCCCTTCATCTTACATCACTACGGGGAAGTGAAAATTGAAGATTACACTCGGGTTACATTACTCAAATGCTTGGAATTTGATAGGCTGGATAACGCACTTCCATATCTCAAAGATAGAACAATATCTGTGATGCGATCAAAAGTGTGGCACACTTACCTTGATGATATATCAACTCGAGATACAATGACAACATGGAAGGAAACACGATTGTTACTAGCTTACTTACTGAATCCTGGGTCCAGTTATGATCACCTAGAGTATTTGAGGAAATATGAAGGATCTCACGATTTAGAAGACATACTTGATTACTTAGGCCCGTATGCACGTACATCCCCGCGGGGAGGGGAGGGGATCTGAGAGGGGAAGCGTTATATCTCGCTAGTCTATGTATCTTTCTTCTTCTTTCTCTTCTTGGTTTTGAAGGTTGTCATACACTGATGCTTGCGCATAACGGATGCCAGGTTACTGCCATACAAGATTAGATATTCACTATTTCGTCTGATCCCCTGGGGATCCCCAGGGGATCACCTCACATTTTCAAAGTTATTTATCTTTCTAAAAACTCGATGAAAATGTTCTAAAATTGTACTGTGGATATACTACAGCACTGCTAAACATATTTATGGTAGAAATGAGTGAAATCTCAAGATATCAAAATTTTCGATGAACCGCTGCTCGCGAGCCAGGGATTATCGAAAAAATCAGAATCTTCAGATTCAATTTCTTCTGTCGAAAACATGCTCAGCAGTATCGTAGTATATCTTCAGTACAATTTTGCGGCGTTTTCATTCATTTTTCAGGAAGATAAACGACTTTGAAAATGTGAGATGATCCCCTGGGGATCCCCAGGGGATCGGAAGAAATAGTAAATATTCAATCTTGTGTAGCAGTAACATGGCATCTATTATGCGCAGGTATAAGGGTATGAGAACCCTCATAAGCACGATAGAGAAGAAAGAAGAAAGATATTTAGAGCAGTGAGATATGGCACTTCCCCTCTCAGATCCCCTCCCCTCCCCGCGGGGATGTACGTGCATACGGGCCTTAGTAATACGAATTGTGCCCAAAGAAAGGGAATTGAAAGAGATTTTCAGAGGATTTGGCTGTAAGAGTTATGAGGATCGAATGCGATCCATATGTCAAGAATCTAATGTCATGTCCTATTTGGAACAATACTCCGATGAACAAGCCATGACTGTAACTGAATTAGAACTTCAAGAAAAGCTCGTGGCATTTCGTCAATTGGCAAAAGCCTATCTCATAGAATCCTAAACATAGTTATCGATGCTTCATCATGGAATAATAAGTTCAGAGCAGAAACGGTGCATCCGGTTATGTCACGTACACTTGACGCTGTATATGGAACTGCAATCTTTGGTAAAACCGACTTGGCATACCAAAAGTCACTTGTATATTCCTGATCAGGCCGGGACAAGTTATTGGGAAGGGCAGGATGGCGGGATTGAAGGTCTCAACCAAGACACTTGGGTAGTTACATATATCGCACAGATTAAGTCCGCTCTTGCTGATATCGAATACCCCTACCATATCTTATGTAAAGGCGATGATGTGAGAGTCTGTTTCGCAATACCCCCATCTGTATACGAGAATACGAGCATGTCGTCAATTCGAGAAGATCTGGTTAATCGTCTGGCACATACGTTAGGTCGTCTAGGCCACACAATTAAGAAGGAAGAATCCTATGGCTCTGAGACATACTTTGCTTTTTCTAAGGCAGCCTCAATAAAGTCAATTGAGTTACCGCAAACCTTACGTAAGATCCAGAACGTGTATGGAGCCACTAACGCTTTCATCGCAACCCTAGATGAGTACATTGGATCGGCCTTTAGTAACGCTCATTCGGCATGCAAAGTTAGTGTACAAACGTGTAGCCAGTTTTTCGTAGCCTGCACGTGGGCGGTCTGGCATATTCTGAGTACCAGACAATACAAGGATTTGACTGATCAAGAACTCCTAGCATGTCTACTGGTGCCAAATATGTTAGCGGTTTTCCTATTATATACTTACATAATATGCCTGTACGCGCAGAGTCAGACTTGTTACCGCCATTCCTCGTCATCTACAAGTATTTACAACAAAATCAGTCGGCTGTTGCACCAATTTTAGAGCGGTTCATGCGCGCGAGGGTAAATGCTGTTGAAGATCGGAAGATGCTCCTTACCGATCCATACTGTTTGCCCATCACAAAACCGCCATCTCCTTCAGTAAAATTGAGGACTGTCGTTCGCAACGCTTTGAAAAAGGTTGCAAAACGTGAGGAGATATGTGAAATTTTGGAAGCAATCGATGATCCAGCAACACAAGTACTGCTCGATGTAATACTATCAGCACGCCCCTTTCATGTCAAAATCTTATCTGTGATGTATTCCGCTACCCCAGAAGGGGTCCTCACAGAGATCATTAGAAAATTGAATCTTGTCGGAGCGTTATGGAGCTTATCATTACACGTGGGGGAATACGGAGGCAGGGCGCGTAGCTCGAATGGTTATACGAGCTGAGCGAGTGTTACAATCCTGGAGAGTGAACCGATTGCGTGGGTTTGATCTCACAGACGATGATTGTCAACTTCCCATTAATGATAAGGAATGTGTTACGGAAACTGCATGGAAATGGCGTGAGCTGTGTTGGGGAATTCCTATACACGGTATTACTCAATTACCTCTTCAACACATAATGACTCATGTGGAAGAAGGAGGTGGTGGGACAGATACATGGGCTGATAGAAATCACTTTTTCTACCACCTTCGAGACCCTCACCACATGATCGATGAGGCGCACGTGTCCCACTACTCCACTGGCTTTTAAGACCTTTCCTAGGTCACACAACTCGAACAGGAACAATTGCACCACAGGCGAGAATGGACCAAAGTGAAAGTATGCTGCTGAAAGTTACTAATCTGCTGGATTTAATATCTTGGCTAAATGTCGAGGGTACTAATGAGAAAGGCGAATATGTTGTCGGGAATGGGACCGAGGTTGTGAAACTAATCCTACAATTGTATACATCACATCCTCTTGAAGATTTCTTACCTCTTACGGCATCCTCGAGAGGATCTGGAACTATCCAGCATCACGTACGTGCTCCTTCCTTCCGAGAGTCTATAGTTCCTAATACTCTGGTAAATCTACACACTCGATTCATGGGCGAGAGCGACACGCATCGTACTATGAAGGATGGTGGCGATCACTTCTTATATAACTTCTTACACGGGTACTGCCACACTCTATGGTTAGTTAACATGAACAGCGAATTCACCAGTGAACTTTGGCGTCATGACCCTTGGTGGGATTACTACAAGTTGTGAGTTCTGTATGTCTCCTATGCTTGAAACACCTATTCGGTTCGATACACGATTCATCCAGCATATTCGACTATCACAACTCACAGCCACTAGTATAGGCCAAGTTCGCTAAATAAAATGGAACAAGCATTAGTCCAATTTGAGCCAACAAAATATGATGAGCAAACATGACACGTGATCTCCCACTTAACTTCGCCAGCATTGTAGTCCTGCATGATATTATGGATAATATATACTATAGACGAATGGATCTTGCCCGTCGATTCGGAGAAACAGCAAGCTCTTAGAGTATATACGAGTCTAGCTCCGAAAAGTAAGCGCCGTGATGTAGGGAAAGGTGAATTACGTCGCATACCCACAAGAGTGCTGTTTGAGTTCCTAATAGGTGAAGCACACCTGTATCTAATGAACATCATACGAGAATCAGATGTTGATCACATACCCTCGGTATTGTCTACGGTTGAAGGTTCAACTCTTCCATGGTATGGATTGTGTCAATTATTGATGTCAATAGGCCGACTGGCGAATATTGTCCATCAAGTTGAACAATATAGCCACATACCGGCTCCGATCTGCTTCAATCGCCCGCAAACAGCTGCATTGTATATTGCATCCGCAAGTTTATGCACAGACGTGACGTTCTTGAATGAGGTTCCGCTCTTACTTGTGACGGGCACCGAATTGAATCGGTCAAAACCTCTTGTTGCACGGCAGTTATACCTGACTCTTGCACGATATCTTATCACACATCACTTTGCATATGTTGATCGAATCCCTATAACACATGACCCTCTACCAAAACAGATAAGTCTCTGGATTCAAGCCATGTGGATCCTGTATGCTATGGAGGGTTGCAACTTAATGGCTGATGAAATTATATCCTACCTAGGCGCACACCGATCATCTGAAATAGTGTTAGGAGACTTTATGCGATTTCTTGTTTCTGATTGGAGTTTCATCATCGATGATAGCCAAATTCTTCTGAACCGAGCGATGACTATCTCTCGTCGTCTAATGTCATCAGGAATATTAAGAGTAGATCTTTATTCGATATCTCAACAACAAGCGGAGGAACAGCTAGATGCAGTACAACAACAATTATCTCGATTCATATTACCATGCCTCTATGCGGCCCTGCCAGCCTGCATATTACAGTTACGTCGCACTCGCATCCGTCGTAGCCATGTTATCGCTCTTGACCAAGACGGGTCTGAGGGTGAGCAGTCGGTGCAGTCAGATACGGATGAGACAGTCATGCGTAATCTGAAGACCGGTGCAGCTGAATACCATGATCGAACTAGTTTTCACGTTCGGTTGCGTGTCTCCATTGATGATTCATTAGCGCGAAGAAGTCGCATTAAGCTTAGTAATGATTACGATGCCAACACGTATGACACATCCTGTGACAACGACAAGTTCATATCTGACGATGTTCATTTCGATGTCGGGCGAACCTTCCGCTTAGTAGGGACAGAAACCGGAACAGAAACAACTATGCTGGAGTTATTGTCTTTGACAGGCACATATGAAACACATCCGGACAAACTATGGGCTTGTTGTCTCGCAGATGGTGTTGGTGGTCTTTCAACCGGCTTATTGACGCGTTATCCCAATGCTGAGATTGTATTTCACACGCGGCCAGACAATATACTTGATGATGCGGCACCTCACACGACGTTATCGACTTACCCAGCCAAACGAAATCAATCGCACTGGTCACACTTAATCCATGGCATACAAGTTTATCACAACAGTCCACGTTTAATGCTCTAGAACAGCGAGGTGTATCATATCACTACTTCTGTCTTGACCTTGAATATGATCTCCCCTCAGGTAGCTTGGAAGAGCTACAAAGAATTTATACACTTACATTGAACTTTATCATCCGGAATGCGGCCATAGGAGCTACAATACCACTCTCATAACATGCAAAATTTCCGTGAATGTCGCGAAATTCCGAAATTTCCGCGAACTTTCCGGAATTTCGCGAAATTCCGGGAATATCGCGAAGTTTCGCGAAATTCCGGAAATTTCGCGGAATTTTCGGAATTTCGCGACATTCAGGGAAATTTTGCACATTCTGTGAGCGGTATTGTATCTTTTTCTTGCGATTAGACATGAACTTAGTCACGCTTTGTTCTGAAATTGCCAGCACATTGGCCCCGAATTCATCTGTTCTAGGTCTCTACAAACCTCGAGCTATGAACGAAGGACGATACGCGTACCTATACGGTGTAATCGACCGGCCGAAATCTACACATACCTATGACAGTCATCTTGTGTTGTATCATCAAACTACCGTTCAAGTCTGCAAACTGATTGACCGATATGCAGGAACATTTCGCAAACTTAGAGGAGAGACTGAGCTTACTTAGGACTGGGGACCTCTAATTCACCGCATTTTCTGACGAGGGATAACAGGAGTTCCGTTGACACGGGCTTCGTATCTCTTATCTACAGCTTATCATGTACCAAAAAAGGCCCTTGTATACGAACGCCTATTGCACCCTTTAAAGGCTCATCGAGGTGATTGGAAAAGTGTTAAATCAATGATCGGAGAAATGATCAGTCTGTATGATCCTAGACCGTCCTTATTCAAGATTGCAACTTCTGAAAGTTATGTGCCAACAATCAAGTTGCCAAAAACCGACTATGCAACTCATAGTCATGTTATAATCACAATGGTGAATCAAGCCAGATATGAAGGATTTAACCAAATGATGACATACTTTACGCAACATGGCCAGGGTGACTACTTACAGCTTTCGGGCACGGTAGCCTGGGCTTGGTCCACTGACTGGTGGAATACCTTACCCACAAATTTACGCCTCACTGCTACGCCCTCGGAACACCTTTTACATAATTTTATCATAAATGACATGCACGCCAGCTTATATCGAGCTTATGCGAGAGGAGTATTTGATGTCATTACAGTTATTCTGACGTTGC